CTTGTCTGCATGTTCTCCCTGTGCCTGCGTGGGTTCTCTCCGGGTACTCCGGCTTCTTCCCACAGTCCAAAGACATGCAGCTCAGGTTGACTGGTGTAGGAGTGAGTGTGGGTGTGTGTGGTTGTTTGTCAACATGTCCGCCCCTGTGATAGACTGGTGACCTGTCCAGGGTGGACCTCGCCTCTTGCCCAGTGACAGTTGGCATTGGCTCCAGCTGCCCTGTCACCCTCTTTAGGAATAAGCGGTATAGAAAATGGGTGGATGGATGATGCATTCAGTGGTGTTGTCCAGGCCCACTAAGCTTTAGGTGAAGTGCAAGGGCTTCAGTGGATAAAAGGACTGTATTTATATAGCGCATTTTCACAGTGTGTTGCACTGGCTAAAGCGCTTTACAGGGAGATTCACACATTGATGACGACAAGGCTGCCACACAACGGCGCTAGTCAAGCCACCGGGAGCCATTTGGGGTTCAGTGTCTTGCTCAGGGACACTTAGGCATGTGGGGAGACCAGGAGTCGAACCACCAACTTGCTGGTCAGAAGACGACTGCCCTACCTCGTGAGCCACAGCCACATGTGATGTGTGTAGTTGCCTCTGCACCAGTGGAGGATGACAGTCTGCAAAACCACAACACAGAGGGCACCAAGCTGAACGTTTCCATGGAGCGTCCTGGAGTCCTGAAAGCAAACTGTAAGAGGATGATCACACACACACAAAACTCTTAAAGCCCGTGTGGGGCCTCTTCATACAGTACGTTGTATTAAACCCTGTTCTGGGACCCCTGAGACCCCAGACAGAAGTAACTTAATCAAGCTTATATAGAGCCAGGTCTCTGAAGAAGGCCAGGTTTATCTTGGCTGAGCCCAGTCATCCCTTGTTTGGAGAGTCTAAGTTGCTCCCATCTGGTCGTAGGTACAAGCAGCCAAGATGCCAAAGTCAAATTTGTTCCAGCTGCTTTTGGTTTTCTAATTATGGTCAGATGAGTATTGTGCCCTCTTTTCAACTTATGTAACCATTTATTTCCTGTTGTTATAGTTGCTATTACTATGATTATTATTTTTATCATTTTTGGGGCAATGTGGTGGAGACGGTGTGTGTGCTACTGGCTGTACAAAGACTTGCCCCTTGGGGATAATGAAGGATCTGATCTGATCTGATTTGTAACGTCATCGACCTCAGTCATTATTAAAATTATGTCTGTTATAATGAAATTAGAAACAGGATTCAGTCAGTTCATACAGTTTAAAAAGAACATATGTGACTAAAAAAAGTGAGGGGCACATTTCTTTATTCAGTATTTTACACTTGGCAGACGTTAAGGCTATGAGGCCAGCGTTGGCAAAACAAGGGTTAAATACAGTCAATGCAAACAATTTTTATTTTCTTACAGCCTCCTGTTACAGAAGCCTGAACTGAATGTGCAGCTGTAGAAACGGTGACAGGGTTTTTCTTTCCAGTCTTTAGATTTGAGATAACGTTCATTAACATTCGTGCAGCGGACTGACAGCAGACCAGGATCTGCTGCGCCCCCTGCCGGCCTCTATCCACAGCTTTCAGAAATCCACTGCGCGCAGACAAAACTGGAATATCGTCGTTTGAGAGTGAAACCAAGCCCGACTTCGAGAATCCTTTAAAGTATTTTCTTATATTTCAACAGTACCGACAAGCGAACTGCGTGTCACTGGGTTTATTGTCTTCCACTGCTCACTTTAGTTTTACTTTCATTTGTAACAGAAAGCCAGAGAATAGGCCAGCAACCAAGGGATGTGGGGGATCTAGAACTGACGTTACTGATGGAATCCGTCGTGGGTTTTCATATAATTTCCTACGTACTGTCATTAAAAAAGAAAAAACCGTGTGTTGCTATAAAGAGGACACAGCCTTGAGGCTAAATGTCACGTTTTTAGCCTGTTAATCCAAAGCCAACATGTACTAAACAGATCTATATCAGTCATAACACAGCTGTGGCTTGTTTCTGTAAGCCTCCAGCAGTCTCCGGTTGTCCTGCACGGCCAGAGTCCAGTCACCTGGAACATCCGGTGCGCAGGTGTAGTTTGTGGTGGCGGGACTCAAGGACGCAGAGGTTACAGTAGGTTTTCCCTGTAAGATGCGCAGACGTGCACGTCGAGAAAGCCACTAGTGTCTGGACAAATGCTTCAGCAGGGTAGAGGACGATCGTACGAAGGTGGTGAAGAAGAAAAAGTAGATATTCACTCAGTGTAAATGTGCCCAGCATGTCTGAGTCCATCTTTCTGCTGTAAACAATCCGACGCTTACATTTCTAACAGAAACCTCGTGATTTATTATAGAAAGTCATATAAATGAGTGTAACAGGAAAGGAAACGTAGAGTTGTGTCTTTTTCCGCTTTTATGGAAACTTTCAAATATGTATTTTAGTATGAAGGACTGTTATATTCCACCATGACTCACACAAGATGTTGACGTAGAAGCCCCACAATGCCGCTCCCACTACGGCGCACTGCGCTGCGCGCACACGCCGCTGTGTCCTCACCTGGAAACAGTCTGAGCCTTCATCCAGGTGATCGGAAGTGCTTCTCCTCTTTCCCGTAACTTTGATAGGAGTGTCTGAGGGAGACGTTCAGAAACAGGTAGGCACTAAATGTCGTGCACTGTGTGTCACCAATAAAACACTGGTTCTGGTTTAAAGCTCGGGCGCAGTGTGGTCTCTGCGGGAGCGAAACCGCAACTTGGACGTTTTTAAAATAACATTATTGTGGAAATTCGAGAGAAAACGTTTTGTTGCTGTTGTAAAATTCACTAAGCCGTATTGCAACGTATGATTTTAGGGTTGGGCGTGTTGTGACAGTATTAATATCCATCCAACCGCGCCCTTTATGAAAATGACTGGTTTTCTAACTACATCTAACTACAGCTTTAATCGAAAAGACTGGACTAAGCCTTCAGCAGCAGCTCAGCTGTGGCCTGAGTAATAGAACACCAAATGAAAGTGAAAGCAAACTGTTATGTAACCAACGTGCAGCCAAAGACCCGCAGATCACACAGGACACTTTGTAGGACTCACCCTTAGAAAACGAGTCTGAAACGTTATTTCATCGGACTCACGCACGAACTCTCCCGTTTATTTCTCTTATATTGTTTGTGCACATGAACTTGAAGTGTAGCTCCGCCGCCAGCAGAGGGCGCCACCGTGTGTTTATCAGTATTACTGTCTTTAATCTAAATCTGGAAACGTTGAAAACTGTCGTCTCCTCTGCAGCTCAACATCTGTTTTGGCCAAAGCTTCTTTAATCTGTAGAAAAATATTTCTAACCTTGTGTTTTGTTGAAATTACTTACTTTATTGTTTCTGGGTTTTATTCACAGTACTGTGTGTACCAGTAGTAGTAATACCTGCGAAGTATTCATTCATTTGTTTTCACATTTCACATTTCCTTCTGACCTGGTTAGAACCCAGTGTGTAGAAAAGCACTGGAGCGATAACCCTTCCCTTTACCACAGACCGAGCTCACACATTTGATGAAGCTGACACAACAGAAGCATTGCTAGTGCACACACACACACACACACACTGTCTAAAATGTTTTATAACCAAAAATTGATTTACAGACAAATAAATACACAGTTATGACAGTGATGTTGCCTGTTTGACCCCAGAGAGATCTGACAGTCTGTTACTTTAAAAAGTCCACTAACATAAATCCAGTATTTGGGATCTACTGTAAAACTACAGTGTACTTGATTTGATTTGATTTGATTTGATTTATTCTGTCAAGCATGTAAAGACAGTTGATATGTCAACACACATAATTTTACACATATCCAACAAATGCTAATCCAATATCAATGTGCTTATACCTAGTACATGCTTGAATGGAGTAGGAAGAAGTCAGACTTATCCAGTCCTACCCCATGACATCATCTTACCATCATTGGTTTGCAAGCAGTATCTCTACATAGATAATTCTCTTCTACACCACACAAGTAAGGAGCAGAAAGCATCCAAAGTACTGGTGTTCCCAGAGAGATCAGGAGCAGATGAGAATCCACCGAGTTTAACTCTAACAGCTCAGACCCCAAACAGATGTCATTTTAGAAATCAGTTCAAAAATCATGTTTCTAAGCAGACACCATGGGATTAACCCCACCAAGCCGTTACAACAGTGTTAGACATGTTTTGGTTTGCGGTTTGGTGGAGGCGTACTGCCACAGGGTGGTCATTCCTGTTGTTTCTGTTTCCACAAGTCAGGATGTTTCATGTGAAGGACAGACTGGGCCTCAACCTTCAGCGGGGAGCCATCAGTCTTCTGGGGGTTCACACCGTTGTCTTCCTCGCCCTGATCTGTTCATGTAGAGGTAAATTCAACACCTGCTTTATGTTAACATGTAAAGTGAGTGCACGCACTCAGCCTTTTCACAGAAATGACAAAAAAAACCTTGTCCTTTTCAGGCCAGTCCAAGGTGATCGGTCCATCTCAGCCAGTAGTGGCCACAGTTGGCGATGACATCATTTTGACGTGTTACCTGGACCCTGCTGTGGATGCTTACGGCTTGACAGTGGAGTGGGCAAGACCTGACCTGGACCCCAGGTTTGTCCACGTGTGGCGTGACGGTGCGGAACTAGAGAACATAAAGAATCCGTCCTACAACAGCAGAACGTCGCTGTTCGTTAACGAACTCAGACACGGAAACATCTCACTGAAACTCTCCAAAGTGAGACTGTCTGATGAGGGAACATACAAATGTCTCGTTCCTGGACTGCATATTGACTCTGCTGCTCAGCTTGTTGTTGGTAAGTGAACATACATGTACTCAGAGAGATTCTTAACCTGTATTTGCATAAGTACTGGATTTGCTTGAAACAGCCTTCATTCACATGTGAGTCTAAATCAGAGTTGTCAGTTCTAAGTACGGATCCATACTCGTACTGATCTGTGCTGTTAGCATTTCTTTTTACCTCAGTAGTAGAAGCAAAAAGCACAGTTTTCCTGGATGGATTTTTTTCAGCTCGTCCAAACAACTTTATCCAACTTATAATTTAGAAGTAAAATGTCTGGCACTGGACTACAGAATCCACCAGGTGTTTCTGTCTTATCCTCAGGGCCTTCCTCATCCTAAAGCGTCATGTGGCTCCTGGTTCCATATCTGTGATTGTTCAGTAGCGTTATTCAAAGTAATAACATACATTAAGATTCTGTACAGTGTCATGTTAATGACTAACTCAACCTGAAAGCTTAAATGTAAAGGAGACAAAGCAGGACTACCACTACACATCACTCTGCATTAACACGGTTTTCTCAGTCAGTTGTTCACTGTTGTCTTTAAAATGTCAGTGAAAGGTGCCTGCTGTAAGAGACAGAAGTTCAGCGATGTTTTCAAACTGATTCTTTTATTCAACAAATGATCCAGAGCTGTGACAGTAATAATCACTTTGCAATTACATGTGACAAAGAAAAACAGGAAATCCTCACAGTTGATGAGCTTTAATTAGCAAATCATTCAAATAGTTGATGATTTTATTTTTTGTCAACTGATTAATCATTGCAGCTCCAGTGAAAACGGTGTTTAAACCACTGGAACTAACTTATAATGCCCTGGATGTTTAGGTGCTGTCTCTGTACCTGATGTCCAAATGAACCAAACCAGCAGTGGAGTGGTCCTACAGTGTGAATCCAGAGGCTGGTACCCGGAGCCTGAGCTGCTGTGGCTGGACGCTGAGGGAAACCTCCTCCCTTCTGGACCTACAGAGACAGTCCCAGGTCCTGATGGCCTCTATACTGTCAGCGGCAGAGCGACTGTGGAGCAGAGACACGGCAGCAGCTTCACCTGTAGAGTCCAACAGAGCAACACCAACCAGAGCAGAGAGACTCACATACAGGTTGCAGGTAGACAAACTAGTTTGTACATAAATGATGGGATAACTTAGCTGGACAGTTGTGTTCAATGTGTTGTCCTGTGTCTTATCATTTCAGATGATTTCTTCATGGTTCCCAGTACTCCCAGTACTCCCAGTAGTCCTGTCATTGTTGGCATGGCTGTTGGTGCTGCTGTTGTCCTCCTGCTTATTCTCGCTGTTGTCTTCATTGTGTACAGACAGAGACAAAACAAATCTAGTGAGTTATTTTCCTTTCCTTCCTGCTGCTGATTGTGTTGTACAGCCAGTAACTAAGAGCAGCTCTCACTCAGAACATGTCGTTACTAACTCCATTTGTTTCTTTTCTGTCCACGTAGAAGACAGGAGGAAGAGTCCTGAGGAAGGAACTGAGGAGACGGCGGACCAACGGATCAACTTTAAATGGGATGACACAGGAGTCCAGGTTGAGAGCGAAGCAGGAGAGCATATACCACTTATGGCAGGAAGAGAAGAAGAGAATGATGTAGACAGCAGAGCAGAGAGGAAGATCACAGCTCAGAGATCCTCAGTTTGTGAGTGGAAGAGAAACACACCAAGACCAGCTTGTGACAAAAACAGGGCTGCTGAGGGATGTGGACAAGGCAGCAGGAGAGAAGGGACATTCATCTGTAAGTACTGGACAAGAGGCTCTGACTTCAGTGGGACAGGAAACACAGCAGGGGCAGGACAAGACAGGAGGACAAGTGAAAGCTGACAGGAGCAAGGGTGAAGGAGACAAGACAGTGAAACCAGTGGTTGTAGACCAGTCTATGGCGACCACTGATCCAGGCAAGAGAGAAGGAAAGAAAAACAACAAAGCTTCAAACGACAATCAGGAAGTGAATCATCCAAAGAAAGAGAGAGCAAAGAACAAGACTGAGCAGGAGGAAGTGAAAAAAGTAGGTTTTGTACTGACCCAGCAGAAGAAGCAACAGGAGGAGCAGATAAAACAGGTGGAGGCAGGAAGACAGAGGATGGAGAAGGAGAGCAAGCTTCAGTCAGAGACACAAGGCAAAACAGAGAGAGGGCAAGATGAGAAAGAGCCTGAAGCACAGAGAGAAAACAGTAACCGACATCTTTTAGAAGACAGAAAACAAGAAGGGAAAAACTCAGAGCGTAGAGATAAAAAAGAAAAAGTTCAGAGAAATGTTAGTGGAGGAAAAGAAAGGAAGGCTGAGAACCAGAAGGAAACCAGTGAGAAACTAAAGGAGACGGAGGAAGAGGAGAAGGTGGAGAATAAGAGTCAGAAGCTGAGACCAATCAAGAAAAAGAAAGACAAGACAGAGTCCGAACCACAAAGAGGAGACGCCAACCAACATGTTTTAGAAGCCAGTAAACAAAAGGCAGGAGCTGAGGACAAGAAAGGAGAATGTCAGGAGGGAAACCAGAGTCACATTAATGTAGGGACAGCAGAGAAACAGAGCAGACAGACAGAGACGCTTCCACCAGTCAACAGGGAAGCTACAGCGAGGACAGACCTCAGAACACCTGAAGGCCCAGCAAAGACACAGAAGCAAGACGTCCGAGAAGAAAACAAGCTTCAGACAGAGAGAGAACAGGAAGAACCATCTCAGAGAAGTGAAAGCAGCCGGCAGCCGGCAGAGTGTCAGGACGGAGCCCAGGGAGGGACGCTGGACACGAACACAGGAGTCAGCGCTGATGGAAGTCAGAGGGAGGTCGAGAAGAGAGCAGGACCACAGCTGGGGCGAGGACAGCTGCAGGCAGAGACACAGCTGGAACGAGGAGGACAGCTGCAGGCAGAGACACAGCTGGAACGAGGAGGACAGCTGCAGGCAGAGACACAGCTGGAACAAGGACAGCTGCAAGGAGAAACACAGCTGGAACGAGGAGGACAGCTGCAGGCAGAGACACAGCTGGACATGAACCCTGTGAAGGCTGATGGAGAAACCACAGAGCAGCCAGAGCAACGTGTCAGACTGACAGACAGAGGAGCTGAGAGGCTGAGGGACCTGCAGGGGGCAACAGTGGGCACCGACAGCAAACAGGATGCTAATGAAACACAGAGAAAAGTCAGCAGGCTAAGAAAACAACGTAAACATGGGAAAGAGCTGAATGTTGATCAGCAGCAGACGGTCAGGAAGAGGAAACAGCAGGATAGAGAAAGTGACAGTGAGATGGAGGTTGATGGAGGAGCTGACATGGAAGAACATGAAGTATCTGTGCTTCAAAAAAGGATGAGGATGCAACAGGAAGCACAAAATGAGAATCAGATGGAGGTTGACATAGCTGAGCCTCAAAGTAGAGAGGGGACATCACAGCAGGACCAGACAGTTTTGTGTCAAGAAGACCAACAGGAGCTGATTGAGACTAGTTAAACAGTTTGTATTAAGTTAGTCACAGAAAAACAATGAGGAGTCATTTACAAAGTTGACATTTGGCAGCTGTTTGCAGTGAATGAGTGAACACTGGGCAGCTCTTTCCTCCTAAACCTGGTCTGTTGTGACAGACAGTATGTTGATCATTTCTCTCCAGGTCTGGTTATAAAATATCAGACCTGAGACTCACTGGTCTGACCTTTACCCTCGGCCACTGGTTTGCTTTCCTCTGGTTTTTTAGTTCATACAATAAGGTTTATTGAGCTATCAGTTCAAATGCATCAGCCTGAAAACAGCAGACACACACCACATTCAGTCTGCCAGCTGCATGTAGCACATACAGCTGTGCTGAAGGTTTTCTGGGAGCGTGAGGCTTCACTGAGCAGACATGCCTCTGCAGCAAAGCTCATCCACAGTGTGTTTAGTCATGCAGGGCCTCGTCAGTCGGTCCAGGCTGAAACGTGTCGCTACCCTCTAGAGACCAGAGGAAGAACCCTCCTGGCTGTGGTGATCCTTTGGGATGGAGTTCATCAGCAGATAATACCCCTGTGTGCAGCGGTATGCTCATACAAACACCAGGCTGCAAGATAACTGCAGAGAAATCCATGAGGAGTAGGACTTCCTCTGCACGCGAGGGACATCTCGATCAGCTGCATTAATTATTAGTTGTACATCAGTACAAACCTGGGAGCAGCATGTTTGGTAGCGTCCCAGGCTCAGTCATTAGACGATGGATTGCTATGAAAACTAGTGCAGACATTCGATGGCGTGCAGTGACTTTGGTGATTGACTTTTTGTCAGCCCTCATTCCCATCGCTGTTCTTTTATCAAGGTTTAACATGTAAAGAAAGGTGTGACTGTGTCGACCCCCAGATGTCCCTGGATGAGCGGCGCACTGTAAAGCCCTGTGGATGAATGAGCTCTGTGCTGCTGGGTAATGACTCCAGACGTCATTCACAGCTGGTTTCCCAGTAGAGGTTTACCACTGGTAAGACAGAGCACATCGCCCCGTGTAGGCTTCCCTCTGCTGGCTTCCCTCCGCCGGCTACCCGTGTCCTGTAGGATACCATTTAAAAGTCTCTCGATGATTTTCAGAGCTCTGAGCGGTTTAGCCACCTGCTGAGACAAAACCCTATGGAGGAATCAAAGCCTGAAATGTAAATGTGTAAACTGCAACTTCACTGTTGAAAACTGTTTTATGTTGCTACGGTTTAAATCTGTTTTTATATTGTTTTTTTTCCTTCAGGAGAATTTTCACAGAGCCCTGCTTGTATCTGACAGAAAGCACGACGGCCGGCAGTGTGAGGTCAGGTGGTGTGTTGGCGCTGCAAGCTGGTACACGTTTGGATAAATAAAGCTCAGATCAGTGTTTACAGAGCTACACTTGTTCCTTTAGACATTAGATTAGCAGTAGATCTGTGAACACGTCCTTGTTTGCTGCTTTTAACCACGACTTAGGGCCCCTGGCTCATCATCTGAAGATGACTAACAAACCTAAGGGTAATGCTTGACAGTGACCTAAGATTCGACAAGCTGATCAACTCAGTCGTACAGTCTAGTTTCTTTCACCTGAGGTTGCTAAGTAAAGTCAAGTCAGTTCTTTCTTTTAATGACTTTGAGATTGTAATTCCTGCTTTCATAACCTCTAGGCTTGACTATTGTAACGCATTATACCTTGGTGTTAATCAGTCGTCTCTCACTCGTCTTCAAATGGTCCAAAATGCCGCTACTCGTCTTTTAACAGGTACCAGGAAATTCAAACATATAACCCTGGTACTGGCCTCTCTTCACTGGCTTCTAGTCCGTTTTAGAATTCATTTTAAGCTATTGAATTTTGTTTTTAAGGCTCTTAATGGTTTGGCACCGCCTTAGCTCACTGAGTTGGTGAGGTGGTGTGAATCAACTAGATTACTCAGATCCTCAAGCCAGTTTCTGTTAGAGGTTCCCAGGGCCAGATACAAACGCTGGGGTGACCGTGCTTTTACTGTTGCAGCTCCTAAATTGTGGAATGATTTACCTTTTAATGTTAGATCCTCTACAGACTTGACAACTTTTAAATCATTGGTTAAAACATATTTATTCACTTTGGCTTTTAATACATAGTATTGTCTGATGCTTCATCCTTTTATCTGTTGATTTTGTGTAGTATGTCTGTTTATGTTCTTATTTCTCTATTGATATTATTTATTTCTGTTTTTTACATTGCCTTTGTACAGTACTTTGGTCGATCAGATGTTGCTCTTAAAGTGCTATATAAATAAATTTTGATTGATAGTTCTGGCTCATATGTTGTGCACAGACCTGTCGCTCAGCTGTGGGATTCTGTTGGGGCTGTGTCCTTGATTCCAGAGACGGGAACTGTCTCAGAGACAAACTTTGTCTTTACTCAGAATTTCTCACTGTTGTGTTGGCAATCGACTCTGTCATTGTCCGGAGGTGGACTCTGTTGTCCACAATTCCTCAGAACATCTGAACTTCTGAGCTGAGTGAAAAAGACAAACTCACAATGGAGTGACGTCACCAGTAGCATATAAAGTACAGGACATCCGCTGTAAGTAAATGTGCTCAGGCTCCATTACTGGACACGGTAACAACTTCAGAGTGAAAACTAAAAATGAAGTCCAAGC